CTTAAATTGAAGGGAATGGAAATGGGGATTGAAATGAGAAATAGGATCGGAAATGAATCATAAATAATTCTAATTTTCTTTCACTATATACCATATTCTTCTCTTCACATTGATTTTCTTTCTCTGCACGTATTCAGTTGATTCCGTGGCTACTGAGCATAAACCCAATTTGCTCCAACCCCATAATCCCGACGCCTTACTTTTCTGCGAGCCTCCCTCACCGTCGAATCGATGCTGGGCACAGAATCGAGTCTCAGCAACAGATCCCTCAACACCCCGTCCATCCTCAACTTCTCCAGCTCGTTGCTCCGAACGACGTCCACCGTCTTTTGCCGTTGGACTTGCAGGTGGTCCGCCTCCGAGTCGATGGCAGCGTCTGATTGTGAGAGGAAGAGAGAGGGAGATGACGGACGGAGGTCGGACGGCTAATGACCAGATCAACGATGGAAAGGAAGGAGACCGAAGGCGGAGACTAGCCGACTGAAGAAGGGGAATTTCCAGTACCACCCCTCCCTCCCATCTCCCTGGGATTCACAGTGCCAAGTAACAAGAATTCCATCCCCTACCAAACACTCTTCTCAGGGTATGCCTGGACTTTGAGAGGGGAAAGTAAAGTAGGAGAGCGGAGTTTAGCTTTGTTGGAAGGGAAAGGAAAGGAACGATTTTTCGATAATAGAGAGGAAAAGAACTTTTAATATATACTGTTTTATTGTTATGTGTTAAGAGGTTTAAATTCAGGTTGTTGTATTTGGGCTTGTATTGGGCCTGAGGTAGTTAGTCTAGGGCTTGTTCTGTATAAGTAAGTGAAACAGGTCCTTCAGTGTTGTATTGTATCATCCTAGTCGGGTGGCCTTTGTTAGTAATGAAAGAATTATTCAGTTTTCTCTGGTTTTCTGGTTCTTTACATGGTATCTAGGAGCCAGGTTGATTCGTTTGGGCTCACACAAATCAAAGTTCTAATAATTCAATTAACCGGTTGAAGCCCAATCCATCCAACGACATCGTTGTGATTCTGTCGTCCCTGTACTCTGTCCGGTTTTGTTTGAAGCCCTAGCTTGTGTTTGATTTCAGCTTCCAGAGTTCTTTTCTCTCTCTTTTCACCATCAGAGAGCTTCATACCAGTCATCGTCCACACCTCCAGCAACAGTTATCGGTAAAGAATTAGTCTTACAATTTCATTTCTTGTATTCTTTTGTCTTCTTTTCCTCCTTCCTGCAAACCCTCTGTTTCTTCTTCCTTTCTTGATTCCGATCTTCATTCGACATGGGCAAGGAAGATGGTACGACATCTAGTACCCAGACTATTGTGGATTTTACGCATCCTCTATATCTTCATCCGTCCGACACTCAGTCGGTCACATTGGTGTCCCAAGTATTGCGAGGAGCTGAAAATTATGAGATTTGGAGCCGGTCAATCACGCTTGCTCTGCTGGGCAAAAACAAAATGGGGATTATCGATGGCACATGTACCAGAGAAGATCAAGATCCCCATCTCCGTGATCTCTGGGATAGGTGTAACGCGATTATTCTATCCTAGCTAATCAACTCAGTGGACAAGCAGATAGCCACCAGCATCGTGTTCTCGAATAGTGCTAGACTCGTCTGGCTCGATTTAAAGGATCGTTTTCATAAGGCTAATGGCATGCGTATTTTTACTTTGCATAAGATGATTAACTCAATCATCCAAGGCACTATGAATGTCTCAGAATATTACACTAAACTAAAAGATCTCTGGGATGAGTTCGATGCCATCATGCCACTCCCCATGTGTAAATGTGATACTACACAGCAGTATACCAAGACCATTCAGCAACAGCGACTATTTCAGTTCTTGACCGGCCTGAATGATAATTTCCATCAAGCTCACACACAACTCTTACTTCAGTCACCATTGCCCACTGTCAGCCAAGCATATTCTCTAGTTTGTCAAGATGAGTCATAGCAGTACATCTCATCACGGACCAATAATTCACCGTATGACAATGGCACCATGGCTGCTCGAGGTGGAAGACAAGGAAGGGGCCGTGGACGAGGACGCGGTAGATCATTTGAAGAATGCTCACATTGTCATAGAAAGGGCTATAAAAGAGAGAATTGCTATGAGTTGGTTGGCTTTCCTACTAACCTTCGAGGAAAGCCTGCCCAAACCACCAATACCAGTCATGTTGGCAACGTTTCATCCTCTCCCTCTCCCGCACTGAGTCAGATGCCCATTACTCAAGAATAGTACGATCAAATATTGAAGCTTCTGCGAAAAGATCAAGATGATATTGCAGTGGGCATAACTGACTATCTGGAAGAAACCATTTCAGGTATCATTTTAACTATCCCTAGATCATTTTATGAATCAAACTGGATACTTGACTCAGGTGCCACATGCCATGTTGTTAATAGTTTAAATATGTTTGCCACGATAGATAAGTATGCAGGACCAATTAGAGTAATTAAGGTGCCCAATGGTGATAAAATGTTAATAACTCATGTGGGAACTGTTCAAATTCTTGATGATATTGTTTTAACCGATGTTTATTATGCTGTTGGTTGTTGTTATAACTTAATTTCCATATCTAAATTAACAGCCAGCAAAAAATTTGTGGCTTCCTTTTACTCTGATTATTGCACACTGCAGGACATCTCAACTGGGAGAACAAGGAGGATTGGTAGACTCTATGGGGGTCTTTACCTCATAGAACGAATTAACAACATGGATAATGTGTTGCATGTTTCCACTAAACAGACTATTTGGCATAATAGACTAGGTCATGTTCTTGTGAATAAGCTTTGCTATTTTGAACTGATTAGGAAAGAAGTTCCTGCTCTTACTGATGAGAAATGTATTGTGTTCCCGTGCTAAGCAAACCCGTTTACCTTTCCCGTCTAGTCATTCTGTTACCCGTTGCTGTTTTGAATTGATTCATGTGGATGTTTGGGAGCCCTATAGGGTTCCTAGTTATAAAGGATACCGATATTTTTTGACTATTGTTGATGATTTCTCTCGCTGTACCTGGACCTTCCTTATGATTAATAAGAGTGAAGCAGTTCATAATCTCAAGAATTTTCTGATTTATGTTTCTAATCAGTTTGCTTTTGCTGTAAAGAAAGTTAGAACGGATAACGGTTTAGAATTTGTTAATACAGAATTGAACACTCACTTTACTAGTAAAGGTATAATTCATGAAACCTCATGTCCCTATACACCACAACAAAATGGGGTTGTAGAGCGCAAACATCGTCACTTATTAGAAGTTGCTAGGAGTCTTCTGTTTCAGTCTCATGTTCCCTTAAAATTTTGGGGGGAAGCCATTCGACAGCCACTTTCTTGATAACAGAACACCCTCTTCCATTTTAGGTTATAAAACCCCGTACGAAATTCTGTATAATCACCCTCTAGACCTGTCCTTTTTGAGAGTTTTTGGCTATTTAGCCTTTGCTACAGTTTTGCACACTCATGATAAGTTTCACAGTCGCTCTACTCCTTGTGTTTTTCTTGGGTACCCCAATAATCAAAAAGGTTATTTATTGTATAATATTCAGTCCCAAACTCTGCATGTTAGTCGACATGTCACTTTTGAGGAATCTCAATTCCCTTTTAAAGATGCAATAGGTCCCAATCAAGGGGGAGATCGTAGCCAACAAGTGATTGATCCCTTTAGCAATGACTATAGGATCTATGAGACTGATTTAGCACCACCATCTTTAGTTAAAGAACGTAATAGTCATGAACCAGAGATGGGGGATGCTGGGGATCTAGTAACTGCCGAGATTCCCCAATGTCCTAGAAGAACAGTCCAAGAAACAAGGAAACCAGCTTGGATGAAAGATTATGTGTGTCATGTTGACACTGCTTTTAGATCAATGGTAGGCTATGCTTGCATTATGGATAATGATCAAATACCAACAACAAATAAAAGAATGGTAAGGTATCCAATGCAGTCTTATTTATCTTATTCTCATATTTCACAAGACTATAAATGTGTACTGTCTAGGCTTGACAGCATTACAGAACCAACCAGCTTTGAGCAAGCAACCAAAGATCCCAGGTGGGTTGACGCAATGAAGGCAGAGATAAAGGCTTTGGAGGATAATGGGACTTGGAAAATCGTGGAGCTGCCCAAAGGAAAGAGACCCATAGGCTGTAAGTGGGTTTATAAGGTAAAGTATAATTCAAAAGGTGAGGTAGATAGATTTAAGGCAAGATTGGTTGCCAAGGGGTATAGTTAACAAGAAGGAATTGACTATTTTGAGACTTTTTCACCTGTAGTAAAAATGGTTACAGTTAGAATTGTTCTCAGTATTGCTGTAATGAATGGCTGGAATCTATTTCAAATGGATGTTCATAATGCTTTTCTTCAAGGTGATTTGAAGGAGGAAGTGTATATGAGAGTTCCACAAGGGTTTGGACAGTATGGAAACAATAAAGTTTGCAAATTGACCAAATCTTTGTATGGTTTGAAACAGGCATCCAGACAATGGAATGCTAAACTTAGTGAAGCTCTTATTAAGTGTGATTTTAGGCAAAGTTTATATGATTATTCACTGTTTATAAGGAAAACTGAATCTGAAATGACTATGGTTCTAGTTTATGTAGATGACCTGGTTATACAGGAAATTTGACTGAAAAGATTAATGAGGTAAAGAATTTTCTACATAACAGATTCAAGATTAAAGACTTAGGTCAGCTCAAATACTTTCTGGGAATAGAAGTGGCTAGGTCAAAACATGGAATTATACTTAATCAAAGGAAGTATACTCTAGATATTTTGACTGACATGGGCTTGACTGCAGCAAAACCTCTTGGTATACCTCTTGAGCAAAATATAAGACTCAGCAACAGACCGAAAAAGTGAGAAAGATGACCATCTAATATCTGACCCAAGTGCATACAAACAGTTGATAGGTAAGTTATTATATCTCACTGTAACTAGACTTGATATAAGCTTTGCTGTGTAGGCACTTAGCTAGTTCATGAATGCTCCAAGGAGGTCGCATTATAGGGCAGCAATGAGAGTGGTGAGATACCTCAAGGGCTGTCCAGGACTTGGGATCAAGATTGTAGCAAATAAGGATGCTCAACTGGAATGCTATGTAGATGCAGATTGGGGAACATGTCCAGATACTAGGAGGTCTGTAACAGGATATGTAGTGAAATTTGGAGGATCACCAATATCCTGGAAGTCAAAGAAACAGAACACGATCTCCAAATCATCTACAGAGGCAGAGTACAGAGCACTAAGCAGTGTTGTTTTAGAGATCGTGTGGGTCAAAAGGCTACTGGAAGATCTTGGATTTACTAATTTAAAGCTGGTACAATTGTTTTGTGACAGTAAATCTGCAATTTGTATAGCAAATAACCTTGTATATCATGAAAGGACTAAACATATAGAAATAGATTGTCATTTTGTTAGAGAAAAATTACAACAAGGAGTCATAAGTCTTGAGCATGTAAGGAGTAAGGAACAACAGGGTGACATATTCACCAAGGGATTAGGAAAACAAGATCATGATAGGATCTTGAGCAAGTTAGGGGCTGTGAACCTCTATGCACCCCAAACTTGAGGGGGAGTGTTAGGAGGTTTAAATTCAGGTTGTTCTATTTGGGCTTGTATTGGGCCTGAGGTAGTTAGTCTAGGGCTTGTTCTGTATAAGTAAGTGAAACAGGTCCTTCAGTGTTGTATTGTCTCATCCTGGCCGGGTGGCCTTTGTTAGTAATGAAAGAATTATTCAGTTTTCTCTGGTTTTTTGGTTCTTTACATTATGTATGGGTTTATATTTTTTATTTATAGTTATATTTATCTACATTAATTTACGTGTTAATTAAGTTGCATAATTTATTAAAATTCATTCTCATTTCAATTGTTTTTTTAATATGGGCATAAAAAACCAGTTGTAATGAATATTTTTATTTCTAATTAATATAATAATATATTTTAAAAATAGAATATCACAAAAATCATGAGGACTAGTGAATAAATTTTCATTTTTTTCTTTTATTTTAAATTATCTTCCATATCTGAAGCAATTGATGACTTCTCATTTTTTCTCATGAACATTAATCGGCTTTTTTACTCATATACTATAAACAGTAAAAAAAACTTAAGTACTATATCATGACAAATATTTATCTAAATACTATACTTAAACTCGTTCAAGTCAAGGATGGAACGAGTTTGAATTTACGTAGAAGTCGTTCAGAGCGACTTCCGTCATGTAGCTGATGTGACTTATTTTTTTTTTTAAAAATGGAAAACTAACTCGTTCAATATGTGAATGAGTTCCTTTCATTATTTGCACTCCTCGTCTTGCATGAAGATTTACGGGTGAGAGGATGAATGGCCAAACAAAATGAATTTAGAAAGAAAGAGGTGGGGACTGGAACATACCAAGACCAATAAAAAAACAAACTATTTGAATACGGAGGTTGGTGTGGGGAAATATGTGTTCCATTAATTTTATTAATGAGCAAAATTTAAAAAAAATAACAATTCGTTTGGTATGAAGGATTTGGAAGGCAAAGAAAGGAAGAAGAGAGATTTTAATCATTTTCTTTTATTTGGCAAGATAAAAATTTTAGGAGGGAAGGAAAATTAAGCCTCCCCTACAAAATTAAGGGAATTTGGAAGGAAAAGGTAATATTTTGACTTGCATTGACTAATATGTCCATATTATTTTCTAATAATCTCGTGTTACCCTTCACTGTCAAATTGTGTGTGATTTGGTATATTTATGGATTCAATCATGCCTCTCTTCTCTCATTTATATGCTATCAAATTAAAAGAAAAATGTTACTATCAAATATATTTTAATTTTGAAACGCAAATCAAGCATTTAAAATAAAAACATATAAATAGGTCATCTATGTCGTCTTTGAAAATATTATTTGACTACTCATATCAACAAAACAAAAAAAAATGAAAGTTGGAAAAAACATACTCAAATTAAACATATTTACTTAATTAGATTAGATTTTGGATATAAATACAATTATAGTTATTGGATATATAGTAGTTATTAATTATGTATTATCATTATATTTATTTAATTTTTTTGAGGGAAAATGAATCTTTTAATCCTCTAACTTTTAATTTATTTAAAATTCAATCCTCCAACTATGACTCGTTATAACTCAATTCTTAGATTTTTGACTCGCTTATGACTCAGTCGCTCATCTTTCCAATGTGTATAAAGTTTGTCCTTCTTCGTTAATTTCTCATATCATATAAGAGCCACATCATACCTTTCATCTTTGTAAGCGCCACATCATCTCCTTGTCTCTTCTCCATCTCTGTTCGCATTTCCTTTTGGCTGAAGAAGGCTCGCATCATTTTGCATGCATGTGGGTCATTCTCCATTGACTTCGTCTTCTCGATCGATGCGTTGTCCTCCATCTTCTTTCTCCTTGTGTTTGTGTTCTCCATCTTCATTCTCCTCATGTTCGTCCGACTGATGCAGACGGGGAGAAGTGGATCTGAATATTCTTCTCTACTTCTTCACTGGAAATGATTCGTTCAGATTTCCTGAAGGTAAATTATCTACCAAAATATTCAAATTTAGAGAATCAAGAAACGCTCAACATTAGCGATAGCAAATTTTATGGTACCCTGCATGTTTCGTTTCGCCACTGGATCTCAAACTATGGAGGCACAATTATTTATGCATGGAATTTGTTTTATGACTTGAGCTGTAGCATGTACTAATGCTATTAATTTAAATGAGTTTTATTTCATATTAACTCCCTGTCCAGCAATCACTCCAAAAATTTCATTATTTGAAAAGAGCAATCCCAGTTCCTTGCTTCTTTTGATAGGATATGCAGAGACTTTGATATTTGAAAAGAGCAATCCCAGTTTCATTTTTTGAAGCCCCCCCTGGACTAGCGATGAAGTCTGGGCCTTGATCGAATGTTTTTAACGGTTCCAAATGCTATATTATGCCTTGACTCTGCACTGTGAATCCTTTTGAACTTGAACAGGTGGAAGTGTTGATAATTGAAAAAACTAAAACATGTCTTGGAAGACATACCGCTCCCACTAAAGGTCCAGGTTCTATGATATTTGACAAGCATTCATTGTTAATTATCACAGCACCGATTTGTATCATGCTATGGGATGGAAAAAAATTGCTGATATTTTGAGGTTAAAAAAAAAGATCACTGATCAATGTGCACAGTATTGTGACATAAAAAAAATTATCGATACTTTACCAAAATTAGTGGGGTTTCAAATACATCCATGGTTGTTTGAAGAAAAAACACAACTTTTTTGTAGAGAAATGATGCAGGAACAGTTGAGTGCTCACTAAAATTTAACAGATGTTCGCATGAATGTATCCCTGTTTAATAAAATTTGCGCCTAAACTTATAGGGTGCCATGCACAAAGAGAACCACTGAATAAAGCCAAAGTCCGGAATATGGTGAATATATATGGGACGACAAATATTCTTCTTCTCCGGTTTGGTCTTCTTCGCAGCGTCTTTGCTTTACCCTTCTTCTCCGTCACATCTGCAGCGCGTCTTGATCGCCTCGCATGTTCTCGTCTTTGTTCAGTCTCATTTAGTGGCAAATGTGCCCTAACTGAAAACTTTTTTTTTTAATTTCATACAAATTCCATGGGTATCTGATTTGGCAGGCACATCAGCAATTATTAACACTGTCAATAACGTTTTTCTACACGTAGGAGGGATGAGTTATGAGTTGGACTGCTAAATGGATGAGAAGGATTATGTTTTTAAAAAATAAAAAGACAAGGGACTGACTTACAAGCGAGTCAAAAACTTAAGGATTAAGTTGCAATGAGTCATAGCTGAGGCATTGAGTTATAAATGAGTTAAAAGTTGAAAGACTAAAAGATTAATTTTCCCTAAAAGGAAATAGTACTTTTTATATATAAAATGAGTACCATCATTAATTTAGGAATATAAAGAATTTTTTTAATTAAATCCTATTTTTCATATCCATCATATTGCATTCTTCATGCAAAATGGAGTAACTGAACATTATAAATTTATATTAATCTATCTTTTTTAAAATTTCTTCAAATTTCTTGTAACCTTAATCTTAAAATAATCTACAAAATCAATTTTTATGAGAGGGGTCCAATAATAAAATATGCCTCTTAAAATAATTAATCTAACTTCCAAGTTTGCTCCATCACATGGGATGAATATTGTGACTACAGAATCAATGAATTTGGGCTCGCCACAAAGGCAAAAAAGAGAATCAATGAATTTAGACCACGTGGCCGGAATCTAAAATTTCAACGATAGGACTAAAAGTAGCTAAGGTGAGCAAAGCAAGTGGTAACCGTGGGAGCCAACTCTAAATGTCTCCAACCGTTTCCGTGTCCGCGTCCTCATCGTAGGCAAACCCCAAGTGGGCCCCACCTTGTCCACCCTTAAACCCAAACCACCCAAACCATATATAACCCCTTGCTTCCCATCACTCGCTCCACCCCCTCCAGCGCAACACATCTGCTTTGTACTTACTCTCACATCTCACATCTCATCCAAATACAATGGAATTTCTCAGAGAAGACACATTCGACGCTTCTTCCTCCTCTTCTTGGTTGGAGGTGAGCTCGTTGAGCAGGGAGCCGAAACTGTTACTGGCGTCGGAGCGACCCAAGAAGCGAGCGGGACGGAGGGTTTTCAAGGAGACGAGGCATCCCGTGTACAGAGGAGTGAGACGGAGGAACAAAGACAAGTGGGTTTGCGAGGTTCGTGTGCCGAACGGTAACACCAGGATTTGGCTCGGAACATATTCCACGGTGGAGATGGCCGCTCGTGCTCATGACGTGGCGGCTCTGGCTCTTCGTGGTAAATCGGCTTGCCTGAATTTCGCTGACTCAGCTTGGCGGTTGCCTCTACCGGAATCAACCAATGCGGCGGAGATCAGACGGGTGGCGGCTCTGGCTGCTGAGGAATTCGGCAGGAGTGGTGATGATTTTGAAGTTTGCAGTCTCAGTAGTACAACGGCCGACGAGGAAGTCATCGGAGATGCTCCGAATGTACAGGATTATTGTGAAGAAGACGAAGCGACGTATATTTATCAAAATCCAGCTGTGTCAACGAGATTGGACGAGCTCCGTCATTTGATAGTGAGTATGGCGGAGGAGCCGCTCCGATCGCCACCCCCTCTTAGGCCGTATGGGTGGAGCTGGGATGACGTGGAGGCAGATACTGAGGTTTCACTGTGGCAATATTGAGACTAATTGAGACGTTAGAGGAAATAGGTCAAGAGTTTCTTCATAACCTGGGACTAAGGTCAAATGTTCGATTATTAATAAGAATGTACAAGAGTTGTTGTTTAGTTTATTATCTGTTCTGTACCCTCGTTACAGCAGCAATTCTCATAATCATAAGAATCACCTGTGTCCAAAATATTAAATTTATGTTATGTGTGTTAATATTTTTAGGTTAAATTCGGAAAAATGCTCTTATCAAAAAGTTTATTGGAGAAGATAAGATAATAAATATTTACAAGTAGAAAATATTAATACCACGGTGTTCATGGGACATCCTAATCTCATTCTCGCGAGACGGTTTTTCTATCTCGTGTCTTGTCTCATTCTAATGGTGTTTCATCTCGTTTGTGATGGGACAAGAACATCCCGTTTATTTTTTTAATTTTTTCAAAAATAAATGTATTTAAAGTATAAAAACTCATAGTAAACATTATACTAAAAAAGAAGATAAAAATTAACTTAAAAATTGACAATGATAAAAAATTAATAAAGAAAAATGTTCTTTTTGAAAGATAGAAAATATATAAATTTAAGATATTTCTTAAAAAAATCATATAATCTATATGAAAAAAAAACTCTTAAATTGTAGACAATATAATCATAAAAGTTATAATATTATTATATTAATAATAAAGTAAAATAAATTTAAAAAAATAAAAAAGAGAATATATCAACATTGAACTGGGACCAGACATCCCATCCCATCAATTTTTGTTCTGTCCCAAATTTTTGTGATGAAACTGTCCCATCCTAAAATGATTAGAACTGAGACGAGATATAAGTGAACACCCCTAATTAATACTTTACAAATTTTTTACACACAAAGTATTCTATTTTAATGTAGATTATTCTCAAAAAAAATAATATTCCATCCAATTCTAAATATAAGACCAATTTTGTAATGTAAATTACACTATAAAATAGATCTTATATTTAGGACCGGAGGAGTAAGAATAATGGAGGACTTTCTCCTAGTTTTTTTTTTTTATAAAAGAATATTTTTATATTATAGAACTTTGATTCATAACTTAAATTTGAAATTTATTAGATTTATTTTTTTATTATTTAAAAATTAAAAATTAAAATAGCGAAAATTACAATAAAAGAAAATGAAAAATATGAAACATCCCATTTAATTTTTTTAATTTTTTCAAAACTAAATGTATTTAGAGTATTAAAACTCATAGTAAACATTACGCTAAAAAAAAGATAAAAATTGACTTAAACATTAACAATGATAAAAAAATTAATAAAGAAAATGTTTCTTTTTGAAAGATAGAAAATATATAAATTTAAGATATTTCTTAAAAAAAATCATATAATCTATATGAAAAAAAAATCTTAAATTGTAGACAATATATTCATAAAAGTTATAATATTATTATATTAATAATAAAGTAAAATAAATTTTAAAAAATAAAAAAGAGAATATATCAACACTGAACTGGGACAGGACATCCTATCCCATCAATTTTTGTTCTGTCCCAGATTTTCGTGATGAAATTGTCCCATCCTAAAATAATTAGAATCAAGACGAGATATAATACAAATTTTTTACACACAAAGTATTCTATTTTAATGTAGATTATTCTCAAAAAAAAAATAATACTCCATCCAGTTCTAAATATAAGATCCATTTTGTAATGTAAATTACACTACATAAGAGATCTTATATTTAGGACCGGAGGAGTAATAATAATGGAGGACTTTCTCCTAGTTTTTCTTCTTTTTTTTATAAAAGAATATTTTTATATTATAGAACTTTGATTCATAACTTAAATTTGAAATTTATGAGATTTATTTTTTATTATTTAAAAATTAAAAAATAAAAATAGCGAAAATGACAATAAAAGAACATAACAAATATGAAATCTCTTAAAAGATGCTTGAATTAACATAATCCTTAAAAGGTATAAAATTCTAAAATAGAATTTTGAAAGTCAAGCAAAAAGCCATAAATGCCCCTATTTATTAAATGGGTAAAAATGAATTGAAAACTTGTTATTATTAGTTGAATTTTAAGAATTGAGAATTTTCTAAAAACATGATTTTCCCCCCCTCATTTTTCTAAGTTTTTGATATGAGGGGATGACACGGACCGGCTAAAAACAAGTATCGAATAGATGATGGAGATAGGACCTTAAGAGAACTTGTCTCTTACAACCTTGGCCATACAAACACCATAAATTTTATCACTCCCTTTATACTGTCGAATATTCTCATGAGAATACAAAGATGCAAGCAAGGCTTATATAAGAGAAATAAAATTCTCATATTATTAATTATTCAAATCATCTCTCTATGAAAAGAGTACATACTGAAATATTTATAAACTAAGACTCTTGAAAAATAACCTAATATAAAAACAATAATTGATAACCTAAGCCCTAAAAGCCCATTATAAGCTATTAGAGCTTAAAATACTAACTAAATAAAATGTATAAAAAATATATGTGAAAATACAGTAAAAATAAGAAAATCAAAAGACCTTCTAGAATACCCTAACTTGCTAGTCAAGAAAGAATAATCTAGATCACTCACTACCTAAGAAGATCCTATTACTAATGAGAAGGATCTTATTTGACTATCTACTAATTAACAAAAGACAAAATAGGTAAGTCTTTGTCTACAAGAAGTAATCAATACAAAATAGGAAACTATAAAATAGAAAACTAATTAAAACAAATAGAATCATGATTAATGCCATATAAGACAACTCTTGATGTTTCTTGAATCTTCTTGGACCTTTTAAATAGATCTTCATAAATGTTACTCATGTCCATAAGTAAGTATGGGCTTTTAAGACATTCATTTGGGCTTGAATATGAATAAGCTACATTTTGGAACTCCCATGGTCCAAAACATTTGAAAGATTATAGTTCCAGTAGACTCCTCCATACATATATAATTGTGCTGAGCCTTCAATAACATGGGAATTGGGTTCAAATACTTCTTTTTGGCTCTTAGAACGTGCTCTTGTCTTTCTCAAAATTCAAAGCGTTCATACTGCAATGACTCACATGCCATAGTGGTTTTCAGGGTGGGCTTCCATATGTCACACTAAGCTTTACATATGTCCATATCATCATCCACGTAAGCATTCTCAATCTAGAAATCCATTGAACATTTTGGAAGGATTGTTGGGTCTTTAATTGGATGAGTGCATCTTGAGCTTCAGGACCTCCATATTGAACAACTCTTGATATGTTATTAGTTTTTATGTTAAAATCACAACCTATTAATTCCTATTTTAAAATGGGTAAAATGCATTCAAAAGTTGTTATCACTATCTAAAGTTTACAATTGAAATATGGTCATTCTTTCATGTCATTCATGTTTTTTGTGACATCCCGGATTTTGGACTTAAAAGTACCAGAATTAGCCTGAAATGGGCAGGCTACCAAATCCCTTTAGGCATGAGTTCTAGAAGTTTCCTGGAAAGACGAGAGAATTCCTAGGGACTAAATCGTAAAGTAAAAGTCTCTTGGAACCATGAAATAAGCAAGTTAGAGACTCTAATAAAGTCTCGAGGGCTCGAGTATGGGAACTGGAGATGATTAACTGCTAAAAAGTTGTGTTGGGAACCTTAGTTAGATGATTCCTGAGACTAAACCCAATCAAGGACCTAATCATAAATCTGAAAAGTTTCAAAACAAAAAGGGAAGTGATGGAAACTATGCCAAAAAATTTTATAAAAATTCTAGAAAATTCCAGAAAAATGGAAAATGATGTTTTGAGGTCCGTATAAAGTTAAAAATAACAAAAATACCCCTAAAGCAATTTGATGAAATTTTCAAGGTTTTGACTAATTGTAAATATTAGTAGAAATTAAATTATTTAAAATATAATGGGGCTTCAGATAATTGGAGAAAAATAGAAAATATATACTTGAGAAATTATCATAAGTTTATTTTGACTTTTCTTGGGTAGCATATAAAGGCTTTAACATTTTAATGATGAAAGATTCTCATAATCATGGACCAGTAAAAAGAATTCGGTTAAGTTTACTCTGAAATAAATATTTTTAAATATTTTAATGAAGGGACAAAGGGAAGAGCATCATTTCCTCTTTAGGCATATTATATAACTCCTTATCAGGTTAATTGTGATGAAAAAAGGGTTCCAAAACATGTCCTATGGTTACCTAATAAGTCAGGACCTGAAAAAGTACTCGATATGATATAAAATCATAAAATAGGTAGAGGAATAGACAAGGATATGGTTATGCATGAATTTTTCTTCATTTTCCTCCCTATTTTAATGTAAATTTCATGAAGGGTCATGGATGGAATAATACAAATTGTCAAGGGGCAAGCTTGAAAGAATAAAATTATGTAATAAAATAATATGTTTTTACACATGTGGAATAGCTGACATGTGAGGTGTCCCTTCAGGTGGCATGGGAATTGAGTGAGAAAGACACTTAAAAGGGTTAAGGTGGAAAAATCATAAAGGAAGTGAAGCAAGATCAAAACAAGTGTACTAGGGTAAAAGTAAATGGTGAATTTGAAGGATCACCCTAAGATAAATTTGGCTTGCACTATAAATACCTTCCCCCTCCCATTTGGTTAAGCTTTTCGGCCATAGCAAGTTCAAGAGGAGGGAGAACAAAATTCTATAAGGGAAAAGGGAGAAGAAGAAGACCCTGAGGTTTAAAACAAATCTAAGCTTCAAGACAAGGTAAGAGCATGGTTTTTGATGTAGTTTGTCTTGCTATTTGTCTTGTTAAGTTTAGCCATAGTTTTAATAGATTTTGGAAGGTTAAAACCCTATGTTGATATGATGTCTAAATGGGTTTAATCTGTTAGGATAAAGGTTTTGATGATAACAAAGTAAGGAATATGTGTTTTAGCATGTTGATCGATCATCTGATCGATCAAAGACTTATCGATAACTTGATAGATAATATTTATGTACAATCAATAACTTTGTGGAAACATTGATCGATAACCTTATAGATA